CCCCAAAACCCCAAAACCCCAAAACCCCACTTGCCTACTTTTTATTAAATTATAAACCAATGGTTCTTCTATTCTGAGGGGTACCAATATTCCCAAACCTCTGACACACAGCAGTTCTACCATTTGCCATAGTCCTCTTCAGGGTGACTCCTTTCTGTGGAGTTAGATTACCCACATAATCCTTATTTCTCATAAACTGTAGCTTGGATTTTCTGAACTTTGCGCCTATTTTCATCGTGCTCATTATCAAGTTTTTATTAATTCCTAAAGGAGGTTTGCACAGAGTCGACCCTTTCTGCTTAGACTTGAGTTTAAACTTGATTAAATTGCCATTTGCTTCCTTCATCATTGCTCTGTACTCTGAAGAGTTACGGTAATTGTGTCCAAAAACTCTTGGCTTCTTCACAACGTACTACGAAGGTTAATTTTGATTGGAACCTACTTTTGGTAAGATCTGTGGTGACTCAGTCTCTTCTAAGTTCGTTGATCTTAGTTTTGGTAAACTTTGAACCTTACGCTTGTGGACCTTTGACACTCGTAGAAACTTTAATCTATCTTGCTTAATCTTCTTACTGAATAGGGTTATAAAATAGCTTACATTTTTGCAATTTGGTCCTCTTCTTCCTTATTTTTGTTCTAAATAAGATGGTAAAATTTATTTTTGAAGTTCAGTAGTATTTTCGAAGGTTTATAACAATTCATGAAACATAGGAATTTTGAGGGTTCCTAAACATTTGAGCTTTAAAAATCAATTTGCGTTTTCAAAATTGGTGAACTATTCCAGTGCTTCATAAACACCTTTTGCTTCTACAATATTTTGCTCACTCAATGAAATTTGTTCATAAGTAGATTATTTTATACACCCTTATGAGCCATGAATAAGAAAATATTTCTAATCAAAACGTAGAATCATATACCTTCTCGAAGTAATTTCAGATCGAATAATTCTCTCTGCTTGAGATAATAGCTATCATTATCTTTCTCACTGATCAATTTTTCGAATTTCAAAATAGGTTTTGTCATGATAGATTTCCTAGGGTTAAAAATTTTATTAAGCTCATAGCTACTTCTAGCTACACCTCTCTGATCATTCATGAAGCTAGCTCCAGTATTAAGTCTTTTGATCTTCTTGGTATGCCTTCTTGGCTTCTTTTTAAATATGATAATTGGAGGAGTCATAAACATTCTTTTCTGGAGTTTAATATTTTCAAACCAAACTGAACTACATTGGACTGGTTCATTATCGCTCTCATTTGGGTCTATGTGGAAGACTTTTTCATCTCTTGGGAAGTTATTTAAATGCGGTGTAAACACTGTACTGAATACACTCGTTAATAATTGATTTTTCAGAATCCCTATAATTTTAATTTATCAAGAAGATATTAAGAGAGTTTGACTCACTTACTTTTTAAACCTGACTGTTCTGTCAAGAAGTTGATCAATAATATCTACTACTATACAAAAACAGTCTGTAACATTTGTTTGCTCCATATTTTTCAATTTTATTACAAAAAATAGGGGTTTTGGGGTTTTGGGGTTTTGGGG